GGCAAATTGTCATTATCCTGGCTGTCATTTTCCTATCTTATGACATTGAAGTGTTACCAGAAATTTTTTTTAAACAGTATACAGTAAGGAGGAAAAGCAAATATTAACCTAATACCAAGTTTCTGCATGATTTTAATATGCTTGAATGTAATCAAAGTTGTTTATTTATTTAATGATTGATTATTATACACAATTTTATTCTGTACATATCAGCAACAAAAACATTTCTGATTCTTTCAACAGTGGATAAAAGGAATTAATTTAAGCAATTTATGGTCCATCTAACATAAAGGCTTAAGTTGAGTTACATACTATTAACTTAAAATGAGTTTTTTTAACTTCTAAACTAATATGTCATTTTCCTGGCATTCAAGATTTGGTGAATTTCTATTTTATTTTATTTTTTCGAGTAAATGACAATAAACTACACTGCTGTGTGAAAGATATTAATAAATGCAACTTTAGAAGTATACAAAAAAAAATTTAGATTGTTTTGAAGACTTTAAATTTGAGGAAATTTTTTGGTCCGAATTGTCATGTTTAAAAATTGTCATGCTTTCATGGGGCACATTAGGACCCATAATCCTCATAGAACAATCCCTGACGTCTGTAAGCCTATTTAAAATGAAAGGCTNCGGGGGATGGCGTTTACCAACAGGATAATGCACCATGCCATAAGGATCGAATCGTTGTGGATTGGTACGAGGAACATTCCAGTGACTTTCAAGTCATGTCTTGGCCCCCAAATTCACCTGATCTTAATCCAATAGAGCATTTGTGGTCCTACTTGGAAAATCGAATCCGTGCTGCCACGATACCCCTTCGCAATGGGAGGGAATTGCTGGACCAGTTGGTGATCGCTTGGTACCAGATACCTCAGACAACTTATCAGCACCTTGTGGAATCAATGCCACGGCGGGTGCTAGCAGTTTTGAGGGCTAAAGTTTGTCCTACATGTTATTAGCAGAGTGGTCATAATATAATGGCTCCGGTGAGTATATATATATAGCTCTCCTATTTGCAGATACAAACGTGTGAGATGATCTAGAGATGATATCTTCGCATTTTTTGTTTTTTGTTTTTGTTTTGAAGGGTTGGTTCGAAGTTGATGGCAATAGCATTTGAACAGCATTTCATCGTGCTACAGAATGAATTCTAGTCGTACACAAAAGAGCAACAGCAAGAGGCCAAAAATGCATTGAACGCGAAAATTAAGTTAAATAAAAAAGAGCCTAAATTGGGAGCAGATGCCATTAAAAGTAGAAATATATTCGCAGGAATATGGAGGATAGAGGCCATTAAAAGTAGGAATAGAGGCCATTAAAAGTAGGAATATATTCGTATATATTAGTAGGAATATTGGAACACAGGGTAATGTCGAGGCCCGCCAGAGAGGAACAAAATTCCGAAGACGTTGAAGAACTCATTAAGGAGAAAAATAAATTCTTCAAAAAGTAGGTTCTGAGGGAAGAGACTAGAATAGAAGTTCTACTCCAAAAGCAGTCCAAAAGAGAAGAGAAGTTGTAAAATTTACTGGAGAATTTAAAGATAACTAGGAGGCTTCGCCCCCTGTTCGCTAATGCTCGCCAACCCCCGAGAATTGCTACGCAATCCTATGTGGTTCAAGCCGTGAACCATGGCTCGCTGCGCTCGCTCGCCAATGNCAGAGAGCTAACGAAGCAGAGTTTAAAGTTTATTTCCCAATTAAAACTTGAAAAGGGATTCACTCGAACCAAGAAAAATTATTTTGAATTTGGACGGAAAAAGCCACAACGAATATATTAGAGCACTGTGCCGCCAGCAGTGTAACTGATTAGAACACATGGCGAAAGACTGTCTGAGACACAAGACATACTCTAAGTGTAATTAGACTAAAAACCATGCGAAGACTTTTAAGGCAAAGAGCAGGTGCATAAATTGTCAAGAAGCAAGTCAAAAGCTCCGATCACGCTTGAATACTAGCCAAAGTTCTCTAAAGCAGACCTTTCCCTTGTATATACCAGAGAGCAATAGATTGAATTCGAAGAAGAAGAAAAACTACAACTCGATCTATTCTGACGCTCCCATTTACAATTGAAAAAATAACTTAAGTGCTTCACAATTGGTGTCGAGAAAAGCGACTTGACACCTATTTTTTTTTTCAATAATGCTATAAACGCTGAAATAGAATTTCCGATAACGGATAAAACAAAATTTTGTTTTGAAAATTTCTTTTTGCAATA